TAACCTACATATTAACTATAGTAAGAATATTCGGGGCATAGAAAGCCCACACTATCCTCACTGAAACTGGAGCTGGCCTGGAAAAACTTGAGAGCGGCTCAGATGCTGTGGTAAAGGCATCAGGGACAAACTCTACTGATGATGCTTCTTATCAGTAAAAGACCCCCTGCACTGCTTTGCCAGTCATAAAAACAGATTTTCACCAATCCACACTCACCTCTGCCCAGTACATCATCTGCAATAGAACAAATCAAATTACAGATGTGGAGTGTAGCTGCTCCAGTTAGAGACATAGCCTGATCTCCTTGAATCAGGCTTTCCAGGCTAGCGTTCACAAGCCCCAGTTCAGAAGAAAGTGAGGTCCTTACTGACTAGACTGAGGTGTGCACTGCAGGATGCTGAAAGCGTGGGTTTCTAGCACTCTCTAATTGTAACTCTGCCACTATACTAGAGTGAGATAACTCAGCTAAGATACTTGGATACTCCTAGGGTGCATCATTGTTTTGATATTCCTTGTGAATTATTTTTTCCTGACAGGGTGAGTGGAGTGGAGGCGAGAAGTCAGAAACTTAACATTTGTAAGCTAATTTCTCTGCATGTGCCAGACGCTGTGTAAGCACTTCAGATGCACTCTTCACAACCAGAACATTTGTTATTCCCACTGTAGAGAAGAAAAAATTGAGTTTTAGGGTGAGGCACACAGCCAGTAAGTGGAGAAAGTCCAAAACTAAATTCAGAGCCTAAACATACCATACACACACCAAAAGAACTGGGATTGCAATGGACATTGTCACTGAGATGGCTTCTCTCAGAACATGCAGAGTCCTCTTTCCAGGTGCATCCTGCCCTGTTCCCTTCCTGGATGTTCTAATGGCTGCAATTCTAGTTCAGGGTCCTTTCTTACCTATAGAATCTCCAAAGTCTCCCAATACATGTCCTTGTCTTCTACTCCTAAGCATTGCCTAGAATGAAATGCAACCTCCAAAGACTAACCTGTAAGGCCTTGCAGGATCTTCTCCCTACTCACCTATACTGCCTAATTTTCTCCCATATACCCTTCTTTTTCATTTTTTAAGATTTTTTTTTTTTTAACCAGAGGAGAGCATGAACACAGTCCCACACTACCACAAATTCTGCAGTAGAGTTTCCCATATTTGGAGGTGTCTCAGGGGTCAGTACATCCAACTTGCAATGGATAAGCCTTGCCCTGGGAAAGCAATCTTAGGAATCGTGGTGTCTCCCCTGACAGGTAGGTATCTTCTCCTTACATACCCTTCAATCCATCCAGTATAAACTTTTGTCTGTCTTCCAGGTATGACTCTGCTAGGGCTTCCAGTTATGTCCCTCTGCCTCCTTCTATGCCTGAAAACTTAATCTGTTCTTTAAGTTTTTGCCCAAATAGTGCTTCCTTGTTGAAGCCAGACTATCTCTCCAACCCCTGACTCTGTCTTTTCTGTTTAAGTATAAGCTTCCTGAGGTTTAAATTTGTGTCTCAGTCTACATCAATATGCAGTCACACATTGGGTCAAGGCCACATAACTAACCAGAGTCAGAATTCAGTTCTGATGACTGTCTTAGTTATGTTCCTTTCAACAAGTATGTGGCTTGGGGCTTTGCTGGGATCACAGCAGGATTTTATGCTATTTTCTTGTGTTATTCAGAGCAGCCAAGGCAAACTGCATCCTCCTCAAAGGTGTGTCCTTCGAAAACAGGAGAGGAAAGTCTTATCCTACTTTTGGATTATCTAGAACAGATTAGTTTGTGGAGCTGTGAAGACGGAAGATGTCGTTTGGAGGATTTGAACAACATAAGTGTGGCAGGATAAAAACAATCAACCAAATAACATTTTTTTACAATATAAAAAAATACTCTAATGATGTTCATTCATGAACAAATTTTTATTAGCTCTCATGGCCAATCTGCCTACAGAACAGACTCTGTAATAGAACTACACTGCCCTTCTTGCCAGACTCCACAGCACTCTCATTTGGCAAGACAATTTCAAACACACCCTGTTACATACCAGCCTCTTCATCTCAAGAAATACAAATTCCAACCTACTACTCTGGACATGCCTTTGAGTTTCTATGGAACTAAACTGGGCATCCATTTCCAAAGTGGCTGGTACGTTTCATTTCAGAGTAAAAACTGGGGAATTCATTGAGCAAGAATCTAAATTAATCTAGGAGAAAAGATAGGAAGAGTACAGTTTTGGGTGTGAGGAAAATATTCTCTATCTCGTGTCAATAGCCTAAGTCATATTTTTTTCAATAAGGAAAGGCATTTCCTTTCTTCTTGCTAGCCACCATCCACACTCAATTAATAACAAACTCTCGTCCATGTTTATTTCCAAAGTACTTCCAAAATGTAATTACCCTCTCTCTGTAGCCCAGGTACCAGCATTCAGACATTTAACAGACCTTGTATGGATGTATTTTCCCCTGATTTCTTCTTAAAACTATCCTTCAATGTTTCTCAAATTGTGGAGTGTATAAGAGTCACCTGGAATAAGAATCACCTGCTTTCTTTTTTTGAGACGGAGTCTCACTGTCACCCAGGCTGGAGGGTAGTGGCGTGATCTCGGCTTGCTGCAACCTCTGCCTTCTAGGTTCAAGCGATTCTCCTGCCTCAGCCTCCCAAGTAGGTGGGACTACAGGTGCGTGCCACCACACCCAACTAATTTTTATATTTTTAGTAGAGACGGGGTTTTGCCGTACTGACCAGGCTGCCCTTGAACTCCTGACCATGTGATCTGCCCACCTTGGCCTCCCAAAGTGCTGGGATTACAGGTGTGAGCCACCATGCCTGGCCACACCTGCATTTTTTAAATGCAGATTTGTAGCCACTATTCCACAGACAGTCAGATGTATGAGGTGTGAGTGGGGCCCAATGATTTACATTTTAACCAGCATCCCATGCAACCCTAATATAGGTACTTCGAATGCTACATTTTGATGAGAAGAAGGACAACATTGGCCTGAAACTATAGGATTTAAAATAAAAATCTTAAAACAATTTACATGTACTAAAATTGCTCACATATTTTTCCCACAGTCAACTGGAAACAGTGAAAATTATTGACTGTGATGATATCAGTGTTCAAAGACCTTAGTGAATTGACTCCTTTCTGTCTCTTACCCAACTTCTCAGAGCCTCCAGAATAATACTGTGCCAAGACATTCAGTGTGCTCTTCCTCACAAAGCTCTCTCTGGTTTTGAAGACCCTCCTAGAATTTTTTTCTGACCAACTTCCATCGGGGATTGTGTCTTTCAGCAATGTCCCTGGGTTCCATCCCCTCCCACACCCGTGTGGCTTAGGAGAGCCCTCCCTGTGCAGCTTCTGTCATAGCATTCCCCACAAGGTAATGAGACCATCTACAGCTGACCCTTGAACAACACTGGTTTGAATTGCACAGGTTCACTTATATATGTGGATTTTTAAAGAAACAAAAGTTAAACCAAGTGTGCCTGCCTCGCCTGCCTCCCCTTCCTCTTCCTCCACCACTTCTGCCTCTGCCATACCTGATGCAGCGAGACCAACTCCTCCTCTACCTCCTCAGCCTACTCAATGTGAAGACAATATGGATAAAAGCTTTATGATGATTCACTTCCATTTAATGAACAATAAATATATTTTCTCTTTTCTATGATTTTCTTAATATTTTCTCTAGCTTTTTGTATTGTAAGAATACAGTATATAATACATATAACATAAAAAATATGTGTTAATCGACTGTTTCTGTTCTTGGTAAGGCCTCTGGTCAACAGTAGGCCATTAATAGTTAAGTTTTGGGAGAGTCCAGAGTTATAGGCAGGTTTTCAACTGCATGGCTGATCAGTGCCCCTAACCCCCACATTGTTCAAGAGCTGTCTCTTATACACATCTAGATGTGTATAAGAGACAGGTCCAGAGTTATAGGCAGGTTTTCAACTGCATGGCTGATCAGTGCCCCTAACCCCCACATTGTTCAAGAGTCAACTGTACTTTCTTGTTTTTTTTCCACCACACCGTGATCTATTTTCATATAAGGAGCATGCCTTATTTTTTGCCTTGCATCCTATATAGGAAACACTCAATAAATAATGTCTATTGGAATTTATCCTCAGATGCTATCATACCCCCATACAACTGGTTCCCTTATCCCATAAACCAAGTTAGGATTTGGTGCGCTTGGTCTAGGACCTCCTGACTCCCTCAAGAGGAATATAAATCAGCTCTAATTTCTCATCTCAAGTGTAAATCAAGCAAGGAAATAGAATTATTGTAAGAGACCTAGAGTGGGAGTTTAAATCAAGCGAGATGAAAGAAGAAATCTAAATACAGAATAAATCGGTCAACCATATAGCAAAGTACTAAGAGTCACAGGCTTCAGAGGCAGACTGAGAAAGCTGGAATCCCAGCTCTTCCACTGACAGGCTGTGTAATTTTGAGCAGGCTGCATAAATTCTCTGTGCCTCAGTTTCCTGATAGGGGACAAAGAATAACCCCTAGGGCTGTTAAAACAAGTAAAAAAGTAGAGCAGACTTCAGCAAAGTTTTCCCACAAAGGGCCAGAAAGTTCCTATTTTAGGTTTTGCAAAACTGACAGTCTCTCTCTCTGTCTCTCTCTCTCTCTCTCTCTCTCTCTACTCGAAAGGAGAAGCGGCTGTAGACAATATGTAAACAAGTGGGCATGGTTGTGTTCCATTAAAACTTTATTTACAAAAACAGGCAGTGGGCCGGATTTGGCCACAGGGCTGTAGTATGCTGACTCTTACATAAAACCAATGCTTGGCATATGTTAAACTTAATATTGTAGCTTTTATTATTTTGCTTGAAGGAATTTGCTTCCCAGAAAATAACTCAAGTTTCCGACTTTAATCATGTTCTCACTATAATGAGAACACATTTTACCTATTTGTATTAACTGGAATTAATACAGAGTGAGCTGACATCTAAGACTCACTACCTCAGAATATTTCCTCCCACTCCTCACTTATGTTTGCATTAGAAATAAAATCAGCAGGGTATTTTCTGGAATAATATCGCTTCCCCTATAATTTCAACCATTCTGAAGCACAGAACTTAAATTGAAAAACCTATAAGACACTATAATGGGAAACATGCCCGCAACAGCAGCAGCCTGACTAATGCAAATGGTTTCGTTCATGTGAAAATCATTTATAGTGAATGATGAACTGTTAATTAATAATTGTATTAAATTAAATTAAATTAAATTCTGCTAACACTGAATGAAACCGAGGCACTAAACTACTGAATGTGGAATAAATTACTCCCTTTCTCCTCTCCAGTATCACATTTCTACTTATATTGTAATGTATATATATATTTCTAATTATACTGTAATATATATATAATATTCCTAATTTTCAGAATTACTTAGAGATTTCTGACCAGCAAGTCATGGCACTGATGCCACTACTCAGGAAATTTAGGATGTCCTGGGGTGAGTACAACAGTCACATATTCTTGTTGTGATTCTTATTGTGCTGCTAAATTACAAGTACAGTTATTTAACCACTTCTGATATTTGCTCCAGGAGCTAAAAATAATTAAAAAAAAAAAAAATGTAAAGAAGCCACACCTGCCTCCTTTTTGTACCAACTTTTGCAAGCATTTTTTTTTTGGCAGGGTTTGTCTAGAAGAAGTTGTTGCTCTCCT